TTTTTAGCTAACTTGCTTTAGAAAGAGAATCTTCAAACACACCAGGCCTGCAATGATTATCATGACTGATGTAATTTTCATCTTCATTTGTAACTTGTATTCTTGTTTACTTTAAGTCTTTATCTGCATTTTAGCTATAACTTCACTTTTTTACCTAAACAACTTTTCATTGTGTAATAAACTCACCTTTTACCTTGTTTTATAGCATAAAACTGTGCTGCTGGTTATTTTTTACATTGAAACACTCAAACTAAAAGGGTGCTATTTCTGACCTTATACAAATTCATTAGTACACAACCACTCTGACATACCTAACGTGGTTGCAACACGGAAATTATGACTGGTGCCTCCATAATTGCTTTTGCCAATTCCTTCAGTATTCTTGGATACAGATCATCTGGTCTTGTATCAACTTTTGAATATAGACAGCCCACCTAATCCTTAGCTATTTTAAATACCTCTAGTGTATCTCTTTCATCTCAGCTAGGTAGCATCTTCATGGGTAAACACAGATGCAAAGTATTAATTTAGTACCTCCACTGCTCTCCCAACCTCCATGTTTAAATCCCTCTTCTGTTTCTTACTCCACCATTCATTCTTTTTATCACCATTTGTTAACTTTTTATATGCATACAGAAGACTTTGGCATTCCCTTTTATATTCACTGTGAGTCTATTTTCATGCTGTCTCTTTGCTTCACAAGCTTTTTCACTTCCTTCTGAATCTTCTATATTTAGACCTTTTCTCTGTTGTATTATCTAGGTGATAGATGTTGCAGATTGGAAAGTGCTGCTGAAGAAGCCTTTGTGAGTTGCTGCATTGCACCCTGTAGCTGATGCGCACTGCAGCTACACTGTGCCAATGGTGAAGGTAATGAAGGTTTAAAGGTTTAAAGGTGTCGACAGGGTGTTGATTAAGTAGGCTGCTTTTCCTAGATGGTTTTGAAACTCTTGATTATTGAAGGAACTGAGGCCATTCAGGTAAGATGAGAGTAGTTCCTGACACAACCAATTAATACTCTTAATACTTTCATAGAAGCATATCTTATGCTGAGTGAGGAATGCAATTGTTGATGCTTTCATACGTGCCATACGTATACCCAACCTTAAACTTCTTAATCTTCATTGTTGTCCTAGTATAAAAGAAGAGAAATTGTCTCATCCTACTATAAAAGACAGTCCTGCCAAAGAGTCATACACTTGTACAGCACGTAAACACGTCCTTCAGCCCAACTTGTCCATGCTGACCAAATATCCTAAACTAATTTAGTCCCATTTGCCAACATTGGGCTCATATTCCTCTAAACCCTTCCTATTTATGTACCCATCCAGATGCCTTTTAAATGTTGTAATTGTACTAGCCTCCACCACTTCCTCTGGCAACTCATTCCATAAACGCACCACACTCTGCATGAAAAAGTTGCCCCTTCGGTTCCTTTCATTATCTTTCCCCTGTCACCTTAAACCTATGCCCTCTACTTTTGCACTCCCCTACCCTGGGAAAAGGACCTTGGCTATTCATCCTATCCGTGCCTCTCTCTATTTTATAAATCTCTATAAGGTCACCCCTCCGTCTCCAACGCTGCAGGGAAAATAGCCCCAGTCTATTCAGCCTCTCCCTATAGTTCAAACCCTCCAACCTCAGCAACATCCTCGCAAATCTTTTCTGCACCATTTTGAGTTTAACAACCTGTTTCCTATAGTAGGGAGACCAGAATTGAACGCAGTATTCCAAAGTTATTGTCAAAAGATCATATTCTCTTGAAATTTTCACACTAATACAGATAGTTAGCTCAAAAATCACCAAACAGCTAAAAGTAACAGTTACACGCTTACTTTAAGAAATGCTATTTAGCATGCAAGTAGTTAACGGCTTTTTTTTATAATTATTTACAGAGTTATACTAAGCAGTCTATCAACTGTACCATATCAGCAGATTGTCAGGTTCACCAATTGGAGAAATCTGGAATATGGGGTCTCTTTAAAGCAGATAATTTAGCACTATACTTTTTTCTATCCTCAATTAATTTTGTACCATATAAAAACTACCCTGATCTTTGGATGTTCTTTCAAGTTTCAAGTCCAAGTCTAAGTCTGTAACTGCGAGTGACATAGAAATTGCTGTTCAGTTAGGGTTTCGTACATTGATGATATAGAGGAAGCATTACGCAGCAATTAATGCCTGTTGTAGTTGACCAGAAAATAATTGATGCTGACACTGGGTGCCTGAAACAACCGACATTCCATTTTTTTAGCGGGGGCATATGTCATCTGGAAAAAAACATTAGAAAAGGGTTCATGACATTCGGCACAAAGGACTTAATGATCTAAACCCTTGGGTTCTAAAGGAGAAAGGTACAGAGATGGTGGATGCATTAGCTATTAATTCAGGAATGGCCCCGTTAGATTTGGCAAGACAGGAGAGAGAAAACAATGGCAAACCAATTAACCTGATATTATTATGGAGAAAATACTGGAATCTTGTGTTGCAATTCACTTAGAAAATCATAGTTGATTAAAACAAGTCAACATGATTTTATAAAGGGAAATCTTATTTTACAAACTTGTTGCAGTTTTTCTTTTGAGGATTTCAGTAGGAGTTTTATAGGGTAACTAGTAAATTTCCTATACCTAGATTTCCAAAACACATTTGAGAAGGTTTCACAAAAAAGGTAAGCAGGAAATGATAATGTCTCACGGAGTTTGGAATAATATTTCAACATGAATAGAAGATTAGTTAATGGAAGGGAAGTAGAATCTGCGTAAACTGGGCGCTTTCAGTGCACACAGTGAAGTAGAGCACAATAAAGGTCCATGCTGTGGCCTTAGCTATTTACAATCTATAGTCGTGACAGAGATAAAGAGGCAGAAAGTAATATATCTAAATTTGTGGAGAGGAACCTATTGGGTAGACACAAGGAGATGGAGACAGGTTAAATGAGTGGGTCATAACAGAAAAATAGAAAATAGGAGCAGGAGTAGGCCATTTGGACCTTTGAATCTGCGTTCTGCCTTTTGAATATGATTATGCTGATCATCCAACTCGATGTTTTAGCCTCAGCTGTTTTCTGTAGCAGAGAATTCCACAGGTTCACTGCTCACTGGGTGAAGAAGTTTCTCCTCATATCAGCCCTAAACAGCCTACCTTGCATCCTTAAACTGTGACCGCTGGCTATAGATATGGTAGATGGAGTATTTTGTGTAGAAATATGAAATGATTAATTTGTTAATAAGAATAAAAGAGGAATTTTTTTTAAAAGGTCTGAAACTTAAGTGTTGATATTCAAAGAGAGATGGGTGGTATCATTCAAGGAACACAAAGTATGCAGGTACAACAAGCAGTCAGGAAGGCATGTGGCATATTGGTCTTTACTGTAATGGGACTGGAGTATAGGAATAAAAAGGTCTTGCTAGAATTACAGTGTATAGTTTTGATATCCACATTGAAGAAAAGCTCAACTAAATTCACTAAGTTCACTAAATTGATCACTATGATAAAAGGTTGTGGTGAGAAATTGAGCACATTTGGTTTATTTTCTCTAGAGTTTGGAAGTGAGAGATGCATTCTCTTTGAAATGTACAAGATTCTGAGCTGCTTGATGGGACCAATGCTGACTTTTTTTTCCATTGTTTGGGGAATTTGAAACTGGGGTCTCAATATCAGGATAAGGGTCCAATCATTTAATACTGAGATGATAAATTACCTCACCCAAAGAAATATGAAACTTTTGAATCTTCTATTCCAGGATATTCCATTGTTGAACACATTTAAGGCTGGAATAGACAGATTTTTGTTTTCTTGGGAGATGAAAGGGAGGCAGGAAAGTGAGTTTGAAGTTAAGAATAGCCATGATGGAATTGAACAGTGGAGGAGATTTGACTGGGCCATATGGTCCACTCCTGATCCTATTTCCTGTGCTCTTGTATCCAAGTTTAGAACATCACTGAGGTGATCTGTGGTTATAATATGAAGCTTAACCAGTACCGCTATAAACTTAATACAATACTTCTATCTCCACAGTATCTGTCTAAACTACTACCCCAGTTTAGAGAGGATGGGGGAAGGATTGCAACTTACCAATTACCTACCTGTACACCCATTTAATTCCTGCAGGCTTCAGCTCTCGTGACTCGCAGTTGCTGGTTCCCTCTCTTGTATAAAAGGCCTGAACAGGCTGTCCTCCTTAACTGCACCAAATTCCCTCACTTGCCAGTTTTCTGGATTTTAGTGTTTATTCTTAATGGAATCAGTTTCTAGCTTCATTTTTATACAACTTACAAGAAGTGTGTTAGGACACTTGCTACGTTTTCATTCCTAGAAAATCTGATAGCTGAAAGACTTCCTACTTAAAGGGGGCATTGAATATTATATTGAAATATATTGTTCCTGATTTTAACCTCCTTAATCATAATGTATCATTTCAGACTGGCGGATAAGGGTAATGTGTTATTTATGTGTCACATCTTATTGAGTGATGAGGACATGGAAAATCTGATGTTCAGAATAAGTGCTTCCTTCCCACCTCTCTCACTATGTTCACCTTGTTGGGCAAAGGTGGGGTTCCTGCTGACAAAAGTTGGGTACGAAGACGGGGTGCAGCAGAAATATGTCAGAATATGCAGGAAGCAAATTTCCTCACCTGGTACACATTTGTGTCATTTAGCACAAGCTATTTAATCTAATATTGCTTTCCTGCTGAACTGTTAACATTCTTCCTTTTCATGCAACGGTCTAATTTATTTTAAACCCACATATAGGTTCTACTTCAGCAACATACCTGTTAAATTTGTGCCCTCGTTGTCATCATGCTAACCAGTGAATACACTTTATCACTATTTTACAATCTTGAAGACCTCTATCAAGTTACCTTTAATCTTTCAGGCTTAAATGTACTTTGACAGTAATGGGTATTGATTTATGAATTTTAAAGGATATACACCAATTTTATTTTCACAATTCATATAATGCAATGATTGAAATAAGTGAACTTTGTTTTGCAGGTTTTAGACCTCGGAAATCCCTTTCAAAACAGGTGAGCAATCCTGAGGCAGTGAGGCTGATTTTAACATTTGGTTGGATGTGGAAAACTGGCTGTAGAAGAATGATTGCCGATTATACACCCTGCCTGTCCGTTTCTTCCTCTCTTTATGATACAATGTATAATTGAGGGGGTTACATTGCTGATGACTGATCTACGACTGAATTTTCTGCCGTTTTTCTTGCCAAAAGTAAAATTTTCCTTCGTAGCTTTTAAATAAACTTGTAAATTATAGAGGATAAAATGATTGCGCAATATTTACTATATGCTAAATACACAAACCTAAAATATTTAATATGATTGAAAGTGCATTATATTCAAGATTTGTATGCACTATAAATACTAACGTTGGTGTGAATTAAAAAGATCGGACTCAAAAATGTCATTTTTTATTTTACGTAAATTAACCCTGTACAAAATATTAAAGATCATATTTGATGTTTACATATATTTCCCCTCAAACTTGCTATTGTCCATTCTGGGGTTGTCTTCCCTGAAACTCAGAGGATTAAATCAATGTTTTGAGATCTAAGGAGAGGACCTTGATGGATGGAAATAAACTATTTCCATTCGTTATGGGATATGGCCTAAAACTGAGAGCCAGGTTTTTCATGAATTGAAGTAAAGCATAGTGCAAGTTTAGAACTCTTCCATAAATGACAGTCGTTCCACTAAGGGTGTTTTTTTTCCTTCAGCCAATTAGACCTTATGCTCTGTCATTCCTTTCCCAAAGTCTTTAATTCTCCTCCTTCTCCTCGTTAAGACCCCCTTTAAGATTGACTTGATCTACCAATATTTTGTTAATCCTTGATATTCTCCTTTTACCCATTCTTCACATCTCTGTTAAGTGTTTTCAGATATTTTTCTACATTACAACTTGCTTTGTTCAGAGGATGTCATGCTAGTCAGACTACCAAGAGGTTCTTTGTGACCTCTCATTGCTATCTGCAAAGCGAGGTGAAATTATCTCATTTTTGCAGTTGTTCTGTTGAGAGAGGTACATTTTCCTAAAGGAGGCTATATTAGTTGTGCTTGATTAACTGTACCCATTACAGTTTTGTGTGCTGACACAACAATTTCTGAATGATGTGAGGAATATTTTCTCAGGACCTGGGTCGATACAGAAACAGATGTATAGCAATTCCATCTTCTCCCTGGACGCTTGTGGTGATCCTCTGTAGCCACTTTCCTGTAAATGCCTGCCTGTGCCTGAAGTTCCCTATTCTTTTTGCCTGGAACTTTTTACTGGCCTTTGAAAAAGCCAATAATACGTTGAGAAATCTTTGGAATGCTTTCAGACGTTTTGTCCTATATCAGTCCTGTCTTTTAATTGTCCCTTGCAAGTGGGATTAACACCTTTACCAAAACTTATTAGAATGGATTTAGATCTGTAGATGAAAATCTACTTTAAACAAAATCTTGTTGAGGTGTAATTTTTTTCCCCCACGTCAAGCATTTTATTTCTTTACGTGGTTTTACAGGAATTGGAAAACATGCTTGCAGAAACACCTCCGGTATGGAAAGGCTCTTCAAGACTTTTTCGAACTTTACATGATAGAGGTTAGTGAAATACTCCAGATAAGTTGGCATTGCATTTGTTTTTCGTCGTGAATTTATAAAACATATGAACAAGGTTCGTCTTGTGGCCAATACTGATGTCCTGGTTTAGTGATAACTCAAAATATTTATATATAATGATGATGGAGCATGGGAAAACATGGTTCTAAGAGACTTTTGGTTCGTCTGGTTTGCTCCCTTGCTTCATTTTCACATTGCTTAGTTCAAAAGGAACTAGTTATGATCAGTGAGCAAATTTAGTAAAAATACATTAACACTTTTTGGCAACCAAGGTCAAAATGTATTTGTGAGGTGTGTGGACTTCATAGATTTTGTGCTTAAAAAGCAACTTACTTTTAATTGCACTTTAGGTGCCAAAGTATTATAATTCCATAAACTTTGCTTACATTTAAACTGAATTTCAATAATAACAAATAGTTAATGGTAGTAGAAAATGGAGCAAGAACTGGAGAAGTAGTGGTATAGTTGGAGATTTCAGACAGGAGGATCCAATAGTTGAAGACTCTGGCAAGGTGTAGTGAAGGGAATGGGAAGAGATGTACCAGAGTATCAGAAAAAAAAATACAAAGTGTGCTAGGTATAATGGGGGATTTGGAGTGGGGTCAGGAGAAGCCATGGTGTGATAACACTTGAATATTTAGGGATGAGTGGCCATTACTTGTCACTGAAGTCTGCAGTAAATGAAGAGGACTTAGTTTAGGATATGGTACATGTAGCAGAGTTGTGGAAAAGTTGAATTTTATATAGCATCTATGGCAAGAAAGTTGAAATGGTGTATTTGGGAGGTTATGAAAGCATGATTTCCACTTCACTATGGAAGAGTGCTGTTCAAGTGATTTGGCATGTCATGATCAAAGTTAATCAAGACCAAGAGAATTTTATTTGCCAATTCATTTTACAATATATCATTTAAAAGGAAATGTGGCCAGTATAATTAAGTTATTGTGTACATTTGATTGTTTAATGTACTTTTTAAATTAAAAAGTGATTATTTTAGTTGGGACAATACAGAAATTGGTTGAAATTAGGGGAAGATAAGTGCTTTAAAAACATAGCTTATATTTGAATCAAAATATGTTAAATTCCGATGATTTCCAAAATACACAGCCTTACTGTAGTTTGGGACTAGTAATCAAAGGGTCTAAAATGCAATTTTAACAAAAATGTGGAAGGAAAGCCTTGGTATGCAACACTAAATATCAAGAGGATCATACCTTTTTATAAACATTCTTGTGCACTAACATCCTACTACTACATAGTTTCTATATCTATTAACATAAAGCTAATATTTGGTCTCCAACAGGAAGTTAATGTCTTTCTTTTCATCAGACTTTCAATATGTGTAATCATGTTCACAATTAGTTAATAGGTAGTTTTATTTAAGTATTAAATGTGAAAAACTAAATGTTTCTGAAACTAGAGAGTGCAGTCAGTTGCAATTTCAAAAGCATAACCCATGAAAAAAATGCTGAAATTACTGTGAATTTTCATTCCTTTTGTTGGTAGGAGTTTATGCGATTTTTAAAACCTTACATTTCCAGAATGTTGCTCATTGTTGATGGATAAAGCTGCCATTTGAGCTTTGAGAAGTTAATTCCTACACTCTGAATACCTGTGATGTAGGTACTTTTTCACACTCAGACCAAATACCAAGGTTGGAACTGAAACTGAGCACCAGAACTGGGTTGAAACCTGTTAATCCTGGTGTTGAGTTTCAAACCAAAGCAAAGTTACTCACAAAGGTATTATGCTAGCCGTCAAACAAAGCTCATCTTTGGAAGGGCTTGTGAAGGCCCTCGAGAATGTCTAAGTCTATTTGAGGTCCCTGGCTAGCAAGACAATTTCATGTTCTTACTACAGATATTTGTGAATAGAATTAACTGTTAGAATAGCATTGAGTTACAGTGTATGCAAGAAACCTTTTTGTGAGGTGTTGCTGTGGAATTTTGCTGCTTAACAACATCTATTTGAACTTTTGCCTTGTCAGTGTCAATTATTTGAACTAGAATTTGAAGGCATTCACAAAGAAACACAGCGACACTTTGTAATTCAGTGGGTATTAAGTATTTTGGTAATATAAACATTGCTTATTCCTGGAGAGAACTTTAACAGAGGGTAGTATTGTCAAAAACTTGACTGGAGGGGAAGAATTTTGGATTTGAATTTTTCAGCCTCTTGTGTAATCCTCCTAGACCACTGCAAAACTATATGTACTACAGAAGCATCCATTTTCTGGTATATTTGAAGAAATAATATTGAGAGTTTCTTTCCAAGATCAGTTTTGTTTAGCAGAGGAAAATGCTAAAGGATATTCTGACGTGGTCGTTTATACCTAAACTTGCTGACATAAAGTAGTGGGAATACAAGTGTAGCACATGGTATCCTTATGCAACTGTATCGACAGTGCCAATTTATTTATAAGTTTGTCAGTAGTTAACATTCTTGCTTCTGGTAATCTTGTTGTGCTAATTACATTCTAGTATGAACGGTGAAGTTTTTTTTTATCTTGTATTGAATAGAAATTGCTAAATTCCACTGATTACTTTTCAATTCAAATTTTCAAAGACTTTTCTATTCAACTGTAAATATATTTAACTTTAAATATAAAATCAATATATATAACTATAAGAGTATGGTGTGCAAATTCAAAATTGAAATCCTCTTCAACCACCTCTCTTCCCCTGTCATCATTATTTTCCCTCACTGTTCCTTTCTCTTGCCTCCCTCTTATTCACCTTACCCCGAACCATTTTGAACACTGCTATTTCTTTGTCCACAGTTATCCTTTTTTACATGAAATGCTCCTTTGATCCCGAATGTCAATGTGACGCGATAAGATATTAACTGTAAGGTTAAAGATCTTCATAATTTCCATGAAAAATTTACATTCTAAGTTTCTCGGTCTGAACTTAAATTTACTTTGTAAGTTTTTCTGTCCGAATTTATCGTTTATACTGTCTCTGTAAATGTACATTGCTACAATTGCAATGATTTAAGGCACTATATGGTGAGTAGAGAGATCACTTTCACGTCAAATAATACTGGAAATTGTATGTGTCAATACAGTACACGTTTTGTTGAAACAGACATCAGCAATCAAGTCATTATGCTGAATGTCTGATCAAAAACTGAATAATTTTAATTCTGAGTGTGTGTGGTTATGCAGTACATTTTTAGCACAGAATGTTATCCTCTTCTAATAAAATATGGTAATGTATTTAATACCAGTCATAAAATCATCTTCAAATTTCTCTCCTGCAAAGAATACCATCCCAGTGGAATTTGTTAGTAGCCTACTTACTTTTACACTTCATGCTTCTAAGAACATTCTAAACATTAGAATCGTCACAGAGCCATAAAGCATAGAAAAAGTCTTTCAGTCCACTTCTATGCTAACCAACAAACACCAAGCTACCTGCACTTGATCCATAGCCTGCTATGCTCTGGCATTTTAAGTACCCATCCAGATGCTTCATAAATGTTGCAAGAGTACTTGCCTCTACCACTGTCTGTCAGCATGTTATGTACGTTTACCACCTTCTGGGTGAAATAATTTTTCTCCGATCTCCTCTAAACTACTTGCTTCTCACCCTAAATTTATGGTTTCTAGTCTTAGAGATGTCTGCCATGGGAAAGAGGTCCTCACGATCTATCCTGATTTACACTACACATTATTTTTTATACCTCAATCAGATTTCCCCTCAGCCGCCTCTAGTCCAAGGAAAACAGCCTAGCCTATCCACTCTCTCCTCAAACCCGAGATTTTCCAGGCAACACCCTGGTGAATTTTCCCTGCATCCTTTCTAATTTAATCACATCTTTGATTGTGGCGACCAGAACTGCACATATTCCAACTGTGACCTAACCAATGCTCTATAAAGTTGCAACCAGGCTCTCTTGATATTCAACGCTCCTTACAACTTCAGGGATCTATGGACTCGTATGCCAAGGTCCCTTTGTTTCTCAGAACTTCCTGGAGACCAACCATTCATTGTGTATGTCCTTCCCTTATTAGATCTCCCAAAAATGCATCACCTCATGCTTATTGGGATTAAATTCCATCTGCCATTGCTCTGCCCACTTTACCAACCAATCAATATCGGACTGTAGCCTGAGACTATTCCTCTTGCTATGAACGATACTACCAATTTTTGTGTCATCTGCAAACTTACTAATCAAATCTTCCAAATTCATATCCAAGTCGTTAAAGTACATAATAAATAGCAAGGGTCCCAGCACCGATCCCTGTGGTACACTGTTGATCACAAGCTTCCAATTACAAAACTTTCCACTATCACTCTTTGCCTCCTATTTGTAAGCTAATTTTAGATCCAGTTTGTTAACTAGCCTTGGATCCCATGGGCTTTTACCTTTTTAGAACAGCCTTTCAAGTGGGACCTTGTCAAAGGCCTTACTGAAGTAAGACCACATCAACTGCACTAGCCTCATCAATATATTTAGTCACCTTTTCAAAAAGGTCAGTTAAATTAGTCAGAAAGGATCTCCCTCAACCAAATCTGTGCTGCCTATCCCTGATCACTCTCTGCGTTTCCAAGTATTGATGAATCCTGTCCTTCAGAATTTTTTCCAATAATTTAACTACTGTCCATGTCAGACTAACTTGTCTGTAATTACCTGACCTATCCTTGCTGCCCTTCTTGAACAAAAGAACCACAATAGTTATCCTGCAGTTATCTGACACTTCACCTATGGCCAGTGAAGTATCTCCTCCAGGGGGCCGCAGAAGTCTTCTCCCTTGCCCCCTATAACAGCCTGGGATACATCTCATCAGGCCCTGGATATTTATGCACCTGTGTGCTTGGTAAAACATCTAATACCTCCTCCTTATTAATCTTCATGTGCTCTCAAACATCACCATCCCAACTGAGATCCTCATCAACAATGTCTTTCTCCTCTGTGAATACAGATGAGTAATATTCATTTAAGACCTCGTCCAAATCCACTGGCTCCACGTACAGGTT